CAGAGACAGAGCAGGGAGCAGAACAGGCCGACTGATGAAGTACACTGCTGAGGAGGGCAGCAGGCGGGTTGGGAGAGGTCTGCTGCACCATGTGGTCACCTCCGGGGCAGGCGGGGATCGAACTCATGCAGAAGTGGCCTTAGCTTCCCAGTGCTGCGTTTTAACCTGCTGAGCCACCAGGGAGGACCCAAATCCTATCTTTCAACGAATCAGTCATGAGAAGTTAAGTCCTGTCTGAAGAAGTCTCTCTCCTTATCATCTGGAGATTAGAATTCCTTGCAATGTCATAAGGTACTAGATTGATTTACTTTCTGACTTCAAGACATAGGTCTCTATCTAAGTAGCACTTTAATACAAACATCCCCAGCATCTATGGAATGATGCAACTATCCAACCAAAGGCCACTGGACTCCATTTCCCATTTTGGCTTTTCCTTTCACCCTATTTGCCCGCACAGCTCCACCTCCACAAGCCGTCTGCAATTATCTGGGTCTTTTCAAGTGCAAGCCATCGGCTTCTTTCCATCAATGACTATGCCTTTGCAGTACAAAGTCCATGTCTGGCTGAAAATACAAATAAACAATCTGCCATGAGCTCACCTGAGTTAAGCAGAATGATGGACTTCAGGCACACAAACTCCTCTCCCTGGAGATTCATCATACGAAACCGAGACGACGTTGCCAGCAACATGTCGAAGATCTCTACCATGCCCTCTACACATTTTCCCTGGTTCCTATGAAAACACAATATAAAAAGAAGAAAAGCTTTAAAGGATAGAAACGCTTCCACAAGGCATGGAATGGTGCACATTCATGAAAATCTACTGGTTTCGAATCTGAAATCAAAAAACTTCAGCCCATTCCCCACAGGGAGCTCGAACATACATTTGACTTCTAAGGCAAGACAAAAAAAGATTTTCTATGAATAAAACAGTTTCATTTCCAGTTCTTGGGAGAGCTGTTCAATATATGTTACTTGTGTGTTCTTCAGCCTAGGCTTAATCAAAATGACCAGGTAAATTTTGTAATATTTATTGATCTGCTACTAAATTTGTGAGGGTAATGTGAGTAAAAATAGGACCTCCAGTGTCAATATGCTCATGGCTTCAAGTATACAACCAGGCACATAGACTTTTTGGAGAAACTGCCAGTGTGGTAAGTAAGACAGGAGCTGTGCTGGAACCATAACTGTTGCTGAGAATGGCCTGATAGATGACATTTGAGTTGATCATGAAATTTTAGACTTCATGCAGAGAAAGCATAAAAGTATTACTGGGAGAGGCCCTAACAAGGGAAGAAGGATGAGCATGAAAAAATGGAAGTGGGCCCTCCCCTGGTGGAAAGCACAGCACTGTGAAGCTACTGCAGCCACTGCAGCACTAGTTCGATCCCTGGCCAGGAAGGTGACCCACATGGTGCAACAGAACTCTCCTGACCCACCCACTGCTCCCCTCATTGGGGTATTTCAGTCGATCTGTCTTTTCTGCTCCTCACTGTCTCTGGTGAATCCTCTTACCCTCATATCTCTGGCCTGCACCCCAGCTCTGTATGCATAAATAAATAAATCTTAAAAAAAAAGAAGTGTATCCTAGAGGTGAGGAGACAGGAGAGGAGTCTGGGAGAGAGAAGAGCAGGTATCGAAAAATGTTTTCCATTAATGTAAGAAGTTTAGGCTTTTTCCTTGTACAACAGAATCTTGTCAAAGATTTAAGATTGATTGTTGCAACTATTAAATAAGCAAATCCAAAGTTCATAGCATGTAATATATTTTTTTTAAGTATGAGTGTTTTTTCCATAGGATTATTGAAGTTACATGAGACAATGCACATGAAAAGAATTCACCTATTTTGTTGTTGTTCACAAGCTAGGTGGGGGTTATGATGTGCTTGAAGGGTTCAAAAGGAAGTAAACATAGTCTAATGCATAGTCAAACATATATTTGTAAATTACTAAAACATTTAAAACATGAACACCAAAGACATTGTTCCACTTTTTTTATTTCCTCTTATTAATGTATCTTGGAGTTCTTCATCAACTATTTTTAACAGTTCTATTGTTTTCATGTTATTATTTCTTTAATTACTTCTTTGTTGGCTAATATTTACTTTGATCTCAAATATTTTGCTGTTAAAAACATTTCATAACTAATTATATATTTATATCTCTCAATGCATGTACAGAGAGAACTATCAAATAAATTCCTAGAAGCAGATCAGAGGAATTTTTTTAAAAATTTTGATAAATTGTTTAAATGTTGCTTCAAAGAACTTGTATAACAATAGGCTATTTGTAAGAAAATATACCGATATACGGTTTTCCTCTGGGTTTTTTGCTCATTATTTTCTGTTTGATTATTCATTATTTTCACCTTAATTCTTTAGGGTGCTTTATATATTACAGTAATTAACTGTTTATCTTAAAAGCTGTCAGTGCTTTTCTAATGGCTTGTCATGTTTCTCTCTCAAATTTGTTTTGCGTAGCTTCTTCTGCAAGACACTCAATTATTACATAATCAAACATTTCATTTATGGATTTAGAATAGTGTATCTTGCATGTAAAGGGTATCTTTCCTTCCATTAACAATTAAAAAATACCTTATGATACCTCCTTGATACAGTTTCAAGTTTTATTTTTTATAAGTTTTTTTTCTTAAAGATTTATTTATTCATTTATATGGAACTGGGGTACAGGCCAGAGATGTGGAGGGTGAGAGGATTCACCAGAGACAGAGTGGGGAGCAGAACAGGCAGATCGATGAAGTC